CACGAACGTATAGGTTTTTGTTTGTGAAATGCAAAGAAAGAATACCTAACGCATCAGTGTGCCCACATCTGTGACGCAATCTAAGTTATTGCTGCGAAGTATTTTACATTTTGTTCTGTGCATGCCTATAACCACCGGCCCGTAGCCTTATCATCTCTGTTCGTGATACGAAGGGCGTTGCAATTTATCTGGTATGATCGCCGCACCACGCATTTGCTTAGAAATAGTCCCGGACCATTGCCGATTGTAGCAGCTGTTTCAGCAGTGGTAAAAGGGAGGCTTACCCCGAATGCTCTAACCCCCGTATTCTAGAAACTTCCTTCAACTCAACGCTTCACCTTCACTTGAGAAAGCCGATAGAAGCGCTCTCACTAGGCCAGGCAAGTCACAGCATATCAGCGATAATGTGGTGCGATTCTCGAGCAGCGCAGCGTCATTTTCAGCCGAGCAGCGGCGCAGTGCTCAACTTTGTCAAGTGAAGGGTGAAGGTCGAGTCGGGGAGCGTTTGTGAATAAGGGGGTAAGATGCCTTTCAAGTGAGCCCGGGCAGCGCGCATTCGTGTTCATCGACGACATGGTGTTCGCTGCCGCAGCCGCAGAGTTACACAGTATGTTTTAGTCGACTGATGATCTTTCTTTTCTCTTATGAGCCCTTGAGTCTCCTGCCGTCCGACCTTCCGTCACTGCTTGATTGATATGTGGGGTTTAACGTCCCAAAACCATCATATGATTATGAGAGACGCCTTCCTTCACTGCTACGCGAAAATATATAAGCTAACAGAACTAGGAACAGGTTGAGGGACGGGGGGGGGGGGGGGGGGGTCTGTCTATAAAGCGTTTATTGTTGGGCATGTTGTTTAGGGCTGTGTCCGTGGCTGTGTTTCTAGACACAATGGTAGACAGTACACGCAAGCAGCTTAGAAGATGGAAGCGTGCCCGAGTACTTCGACGAATGAAACGCGAGTGGATGACGTCCACGTGACAGGACGCCTCCTCGCATTGAGAAAAAAAAAAGCTATGAAAGGCATACTTCATTTACCTTTCTCATGTTTAAATCTATAAAAATTGGATATAGCTTGCATTAGGCGCCTCGATCAGCACCCCATTGTGTGCAGAGGTCTACCCCAGCGAGATTCCAGCGATCCGAGCATTCTCCTTTGCCGCCATCATATTTAGACTGAAAAGTAGCCAGAATCAGTTATATCTCTGAAGCTGCCTTCTGGCAGTTGTGTATTTTGCCAGCTACGTGAGAATTGTAATGGGACGTAAGGAGGCCACCGTCCACTTAGGTGCTCATTTAGCCATCCATGGTGATATTGGAACACACACCATGCCATTCTTTTTCATCCATGTTTGTTTATTGCGCTATAAAAAGGAGACATCTTAGTGAGGCGCCAAATCTGCTTCCCACTTTTACTCAATGAGACCTGCCTCGACATTGTTTGATGTGCAGGGCCAATGCCATGCAGTTTTTTTATATATTATGGAGGCAGAGGAAGCCTGGGTTTTCTTCGCAAAAGCAACTTGCGGTAAATATGTTCGTAAAAGAGTGTTCAAAGACAATTCTGGAGCTGCTCAAGTCATCAGAGAAGCCGAATGGCCAATGGAAAGTAGCGCTTACGAACTGAAAACTTTGTGAATACTGCCCTTATTTATGCTTTCAAAACACTGCGCACTTTCCACCTTCGCCCCCGGAAGGTCGGGGACAAAAGACACGCCATGGTGAGAGGGATGCAGTTTCTATATTTTTCGTTTATTGAACAGTTGCATGGCCTAATTTTTTTACGACTTGACCAACGGTGGCGGACGTGAAGCTTAGCTATAGTTATAGCGCGATAACAGAACGACGACAAAAAGACAAGAAAGACATGAAGGACACGAGTCCTTCATGTCCTTCTTGTCTCTTTGTCATCGTTCTGTTCTCGTGCTATAACTATCGTCATGTCATACCAACTAGCCCAAGTCACTTCTAAGTGAAGCTAGGCTTCCCCTCATGTTCAACTCCACGCGCACCTATCCAGCTACGTGCACGCACGCATGTCCAGACTGGCTACTTGGAGAAAGGTAATGCACTCGTTCCTTCTAATGAGTAGTTTCCCAAATCCATCGACCCTTACTGCACTTGTAACATAAAATAGGACGTGACACGAAGAACTCACAATCGTGTCAATCTATAGCCGATCGCAAAGCAAGAAAATCATGGCTATGAACCATTGCCTCGCGGGAGCGAATTCTCCCGCTTATGATAGGTATATAGGCGAAGTCTACGTGCGAAAAAAAAGTAGTCACTAAATCACAAAATTATACGGGCTCACCCGTGCGACTTTGTTGTGTGGTACCACAGTGTTGGAGAACTTGGTTCAGCGAAGAAATACATGTCTTGATAGCTTGAGAATGAACTTGAAACTGTCAGTCTTTGGCAAGTTGCAACAGATTCACCATGTGGCATCCGGAGCCCCTCGGTGTTGGGATCCTTGCTTCATATAACAAAGGGATGGCGTTGGTAATTCACATAAAACCACCCCGAAAGCCGAAGAACCGGCTCAATATAAAAACAGTGGGAACCTATCTTTAAAAGCACGCATGTCCATCGAGGTTATGGCCAGGGGTACTTGAATCACAGACAAAAGAGACAGAAGTGACGGACAGTTTGACACCTGTTTAGAGTGCGTGTGCGTCAGGCCAAACTGCACATTTGCAATAGCCTCTTGGTTTGCCACCGCTGTACTCCATCTATGTAGCAAACGCAGCGGCTTTGGTGAGCAATGAATCATATGTTGTAGCAGGAGACTTCGAGTAAAGAATTACGCGGAACTTGGCTATCGGGAAACCTTGATTGATTGATATGTGGGGTTTAACGTCCCAAAACCACCATATGATTATGAGAGGCGCTGTAGTGGTGGGCTCCGGAAATTTCGACCCCCTGGGGTTTTTTAACGTGCAACCAAATCTGAGTACACGGGCCTACAACACTTCCGCCTCCATCGGAAATGCAGCCGCCGCAGCCGTGATTCGATCCCGCGACCTGTGGGTCAGCAGCCGCGTACTTTAGTCACTAGACCACTGCGGCGGGGCTACCGGCAAACCTAACCGTCCTAAACTTCACCGAATGGAATGGAATGAAAAAACTTTATTCAGTCCTGCAGGACGCGCTTAGAGCGTAGCGGGCATCTCCGACGTAGATCCGACAGAGAGTACCTGGCGGCCGCTTTGTGGGACTGCTGGACGGCCCATTGCTAGTTGGCGAGAAGTGAGCTCCTGAGGGACCTCTCCCACTTGTTTGAGGTAGAGTCGGGAGGAGTTTTTCTACCTTCCAAGGGCATGTGTGCGAGTGTCGCCATGTGTCCACATGATGGGCGTGTTTCGCTGGGGTATGCATCAGGATAATAAACGTGAAGCGTGGCAAGGTTTGGGTACGTGTGTGTCAGTAATAGACGTAGGGTCTATGTAAGCGGTCTGTTTTATGCTTCGGATGTGGGGGTGGAAACATGCAGCGTTCAAGGCAAAAGTGCTTTGTTATGTCATTGTACGCAATGGGTGCATCCCGATTGGTCTCAAACTCAGCAACATAGGGTTTCTCTGTGGTGGTGCGGTCGGTAAGTGCACACGCTGCATCATGGGCGATTTCGTTGAGGTTGGACAGGGCACCCGGCACCTGGCCGAGATGGGCGGGGAACCATATGACAGTGTGCTGCTTCAGGGCACTCGGGTTTCCTCTGCGCAAGATACGTAACACCTGGTCGGAGATGACTCCGCGTTCGAAGGCTTTGATGGCCGGTCTGGAGTCCCTCTAGATGAGTTCCTGTTTGCTGTCAAGCATAGCTATAGCTACTTGCTCTGCTACTTTGGGGTTTTAAGTGAGGATTGTGGCAGAGTTAAGGGTCTGCTGTGCGGATGATACCGCGACCACGGCGAAGGCTCAGTTGTTGCGATAGGCAGCGGCGATCACAAACGAGACGTTGTCCGCTTCCATGTCTACGCACTTGAGAATGGCGGTCACCCGTGCAAGGCACCTGCCTATGTTGTATTCACCGACAAATAATTCGTTTACGCAACGCGACTGAGAAAGGTTAGCTTCATTCAGAGTGCGCGACAGTTCGCAATTGCAGCGTTCAACGGGTAAACTAGAGGATAGAAACTTTGATTTGCGTGAGTCGGTTCATAACTTTCGATAGCGCAGCTCCAATAAGAAAAGCAATGAAGGAACACACAACGATATTACAAGTGCTCTGATTGCTGGTCTTGTTCCCTCTTTGTCCACTTCTGCCCGCGCTGCGCTTTCCAAAAACTAGAACTATACCACACGCACAGGACGGTACAATGGAACGCTAGTGTGAATGACGATACCGTCGATACGCTATCTCCACAGTAGCACGGGATCTTTCAAGTGAAGACGCTGTGACTCTTGTTCAAACTGTTAGCTCGCATGGGCTTAATCTTTCATGCTAAGCAGAGCGCGAAAAGGGAGCCACATGAGAAAAAGAACGCCGCAGGACAAGCGACACACGGTTACCAACGTGCGCAGCCTTGTACCCCGCGGTTTAGTGCATTCTGGCAACATAGAACAGTTGTCTTTTCAGCTCGTTGGCGGAAAATACTGCCGCTGGGTGGGGCTCTATAGAGCTATTACATGTTTATAATCAGTGGTAGGCGTCGGCGACATACAGGAGCACTTGCAGCGACGTTGTGACGCGTAGGCTCTGCCCTCTGTGATCATGTGACAAATGGCACAGCAGCTGCAAAGCTGCTTCAGCAGAAAAAGCACGTCAGGGAGTCTTAGGTGGGAGGCCCCATTTAGCGTAGATAATGTGGTATTGTAGAAATGATCGCTGGTCAGAAAACTACATTTCCTTTATTACGACTGAGTACCCGAACGTTTACGTTTTTATCTTGACATTGCCTAAATAACGCCACTGCCTTTGGATCAAGCTAGGTCACTCGAACGTTGCCCAAAAGGAACTTAAAAGCGTTTCATGCTTAAAAGATGACGCCTGCACTCACCGACTTCCTTGAGATGGTCCAGCACGGCATCCTCCTGCCCAACGTCATCCTGAGTCCCGAAGCGCATCTTGTTACGCTGATGTTGGGCCATCATTATTCGGCGTACGTTCTCCACCTGAGAGGCAAGCGCACGAGTTACAAATACGTCTCCATTTTTTCGCATAAATAAAACAAATCTGATAAACACTCGCTGGTAAAGTGTTTGACAATTCGGACTTGATTTTAAGAGAGCACCCTCGTTCATAGCGCATTTCCAAACCTAACAATCATAAATCGTAAAAAGCGTACCTCCTTCAGTGACAGCAAACTCGAAATGTATGCTTGTGTTTATATCAACAAGCTTTAGGTTTCTGATATGAACAAACGTAGCTAGGTGTTTATTCAAGTATTTGTGCACGAATACTTGAATACAAACACCCAGCTACGTTTCTACGTATAAAAAACTCAAAGCTTGTTGAAAAAAAACGTGTGTGTGCATGTGCGTGTGTGCGTGTGTGCGTGTGTGTGTGTGCGTGTGTGTGTGTGTGTGTGTGTGTGTGTGTGTGTGTGTGTGTGTGTGTGTGTGTGTGTGTGTGTGTGTGTGTGTGTGTGTGTGTGCGTGCGTGTGTGTGTGTGTGTGTGTGTGTGTGTGTGTGTGTGTGTGTGTGTGTGTGTGTGTGTGTGTGTGTATGTGTTTGTTCAGATTTAATTTCATTTATATTGCGGAGTATTGAGAAAAAGGAAGTACAGTGTTTAGTTTTCGTCAAGAAGATAAGGGAAGCTGGGAGAAAAGGCTGAGACGCAGCTTTACTAGCTCCTGAACTTTCCTCCTTTCTGCAACCCCCACGCACCCCCCCAAAAGTGCACTTTACCAAGTTTGCAGCAGCGCCAATCAACATCTCTATTAACAGTGAGTAAAAAGAAATGAAAGCATGGAGAAACAGGATTATCAGCAACATTGGAAAGTACACTCATTGGAAAATTAAGTATTAAGAACACATTGCTATAATTTACAATGCAAAATTAAACGCCAATTTTTAAGAACTAGATGTTTGCGAGAAATAAACTGCGATAAACACAACATTTTCTATAAAAATTTATTAAACCCTGGAAAATATCCTCTAAATTTCAAAAAATAAGCTCTGGAAGCATAAAATTTTGTTTATAATGTACTGAAACTGACGTCAGTGGCATGGTTAGGCCCGTCAACGCCGCATCATAGCGCGGACAACATCTGGAAATCTTTTTTCGTTACCCACGAACATATCGGCTGGTACCGCGCGCGTATGACAAGAGCTATGTAGATTACACATTACCGAACAATACCCATTAATTCTACTTGTAAAGCAACCAACTGTTTCAATGCTTTAGAATTTCTTGGACTGAGCCAGATGTGTTTTAGGTGCAAAATTGAGATGGAATACAAGTGTTTTAGAGGCAGTCGCTAAGTCAATAAAGTAGTTAAGAACGCTTAGATGTTTCGCCATACTAAGCATTTATTTGGTTATGCGATGAAAGTTGAAGACACTTATGTTCTCCAAGAACCAAAAAAAAATTGGGACCAGATGGTTACTGCCTGAAAAGTTACCTATACAGGCATGTTAAAACAGGGTGCTAAGTCATAACTATTTCACGCGCTCTAATGTAGTCGCCAATACACCATACCATAATAAGATTACCTTTTCACCAAGGTTTGACATACCCAACGTGAGTTCTAACCCCGCATTCAATTCTCACACGTAGGCATGATACATCGCAAAGCACGACATGGCGACGCTTAGGCTGTTCGGTTTACGAAACCCCCTTATACGATTCCCCATCCACTAAAAGCTAGTTCCAATGGGTTGCAATGACGAAGGTGCTCTGTTACCAATACATTGGGGCGCAATGTGGGACATACCCAGTGCCTTCGCAAGTACCTGCGACGCGCTCATTCCGTACATCTTAAAAAGCGCTGCTTGTCAATGTGCCGTCTCTGTATGTATGCTCCATGACAAGAGAAAGCGGGACATTTTCTTACTTTGTTCCTTTTTTATTTTTCCACATCCTCATTCGCCTTACCCCGCGCAAATAAGTAAAGAAAACATTTATATTCCGGCTTACTTCCCCATTTTCCATGGGTAGTTCGTTTCTATTTCTTTCTCTCTTCGAAACACACATTGACATTGGAATCACCGCATTGTACTAGAAGATTGTCATACTAGAACGTTGACAGGCTAGAACGGCTTCGACAGGCATAACATGAGTGTCAGGAAAGTGCGTATGGCGCCTCCTACATAGAAATCGAACATTATCGAAGCACAATAAAGCATGGCGCCTCCTACATAGAAATTAAACATTATCGAAGCACAATAAAACACTGACCTGATAATCTCACTTTTCGGTCATTCAACTTTGCAACATATGCGTGCAAGTTTTCGAGGCAACAACATCCTGGAGTTTTAATGGCATTTATAAATAGTCAGCACCACTGGCTTATCAACTAGTTCTCGAAATACCAAACAGCTGATTCTACAAGCCGGATAAAATGCACAGCGCTGGTCCGTTTTTTTTTTTCTTTTCAAGTCGCACACAACGAAAGGCTGAAATAAAACCTCCGTGGATGCGCCTGAAGAGTGTATATTTGACTATCCGCCGGGGCAAACCCTGAAGACGATAAAAAGGTGAACTTGCAAAGCAATAAAACTAACACATAGAGCGAAGCTGTCGGCGAGCCTTCCATAACGACGCTCAGCGCACTTATATAGCTCCGACAGATTCAGCAGTGTTTTCTTCGTCGTTTTTACACACTCATGCAGTCTACACAGGCACACACATTACGCTAATTCTAAGTCGTTTCAGCAAATTCACTAATCGGATCACTGAAAAGCCCCGAGGGGAAGTTGTAAGCAAGAGAAACTCGCATAATCCTTCCACTAAAGCGATTCCGAAGTGTCCTCTCAACGCGCCCGTCTCCTCAACGACGATCCATCCAAGCTCTTCTTGCGTTCTCTGAACGACGAACTTGAATTGATAGTCGAGAGAAGTATAACACCAAGCTTCTTTGATGAAGGAAGAATGACTGGCACAAAGAACATAAAATCTCCCTATACTTGATCCCTCAATGAGGAACACATACGCGTGCTTAGCAAAGGTTAAAGCATGCCAGCGCGACAAAACTAATAGATTGCGCGCCTTGAGCAGCCTCCAAGAAAGTGAGGAGGGGAGAGACTACTTGGAGAAATCTAGAATGTGTGAAGAACCGGTTGTTTGCTCAGCGAGCCATGTTCTTGTTGGTATGCCACCACAGAGTGTTCATTCCTTCTTTACATTTGTGAGAAGCAAGTGTGTATCTTCACGCATGCTTCTTTTTCACTTTCATGTCATTATTTCCTTCCCCTTTTCCTCAATGTAAGGTAGCAAACCAGATTCAAGTCGCGTTAACGTCCTCCTGTATTTCTCTCTCCTTTTTTTTAGCTTGGTAGTTTCCGTAGGATTGTAAGTATACTAAAATTTGAGAACCCACCTTTCATTCTCTATATAGTCGTCGTTCGAGTCTAGTTCATCATGAAGCGATACGTTTAGTATATATGCAGTTGTTCTGGTCAAGTAAGTATGTGTCATTCAGTATACTCTTCTTCACGCAAATATACGCACGTACATTAAGGGCAATGACCCACAAACAGCGATCTTGTGAGGGTTTTGTGCACTCTGGGGACGTAGTTAACTATATGCGTGCATGGATGTTCGCGTAAAGGTGGTACTAGTGCTAAGTTGCACCTAATTACTTCATCATGAATAGTCCCCTTACTAGAAATACTAATGAGTGCGTAAAAGTGTTTTTATAGCGCTAATGAATTTCTAACTATCTGAAGTCCTAATGTTAAAATGTTTAGCCTATACTGTTCATACTAAACATATTGCAGGGTATTGCAGACCCAGACCACGATACTATTAGAATGAATGCCATTGTAGAGGGCTACGGAAATTTCAGCAATCTGGTGTTCTTTAACGGGCGCTGACGTCACGCAGTACACGGACCCATAACTTTTCGCCTTCACCGCCGCGGCCTTCGAGTCAGCAGCCAACAGTCACGACCACTGACGCACTACGGGGCTTCTTTAGCTTATGTTCCCACTAAGCAAAGCTGGCAGTTGCGCGTTAAGTAAGTTAGTAAGTAAATAACTGAGTAAGTGAGTGAGTGTGTGAGTGAGAGCATGTGCAAGCAGACAGCTCAAGGTAATTGCACCAAGTAACCTCCAAACATAAGAGGCTGTTTTATTTTGTACGAAAAATGCAAATACTAGCACTTACAACTCTATAACCACAACATCATCATAAGGACTGTATGAGGGCCGTATAGTTACGCAACAACGGAATAATTTAGACCCACTGGGGTTCTTCAAAGTGCACTAAAATACCAGTACAGGGTCTGTCAAACCTTCCCAGACCATCAAGATGCCATAGGAATGCATTGGATAGTGGTCTGGTGGTGTGTAAACTGTTAAAAAAACTCTATTCATTGGTGATTTCGCCTTTCGCCCCAATGAAAATGCGAACATCGTGGCCGAAAACAACCAGCCTCCTCACACTTAGAAGAACAACGCTCACGTTTTCCAGTGACGTCTCCGATGAATCGGGTTCGTGGTAGAAGTAGGTCGGTCCCGGCTTCTTGGTGTCGTAGCGCATAGGACGCCGGAATGCAGGATCTTGGCGCACACCGATGTCCAAGAGCTCGTCACCTTCATAGGCCCCGGTAGGGTACAGCGTCTCTTTCGGGAACTCCATCCAGCCGTCTGGACGGGCATATTTAGAACAACTTAAGTTAGGTAAAAAAATGAAAAGAGAAGGTAATCTTGTCCTTTATAAAAGGAACGCGGGAGCACGTGGCCACTGCTCTGCGGCGGCCGCCTACAGCACCATCAACCGACAGCGATAAAAAACACGTTCGCTTTGGGCGTTATCTATCGGCGAACAAAATAACCAGTAACGGCCAGTCTCGAGGCCCACGCTCGCAAGACTGGCCGTGGCCGGCCGTGACTGGCTATTTGTGCCGGGTGTCGTCCGCGAACCACGGACGATTTGTTCACAGCAGACGACGCGCTGCAGGCATCGCCGGTAGCGCTATCGTAGCGAGAGCGTAATCCAGCGGCGTTTCTCAACCGGCCATCACTGGTTATTCTGTCTGCTGATAAATGACGCTGAAAGCGAACCTGTTTTAATTCGCTGTTGGTTGATGGCGCTGTAGGCGACCACCGCAGAACATTGGTCACGCGCCCCCGTGTTCCCTTTCATAAAGGACGACAGAGTACATTTAATGGATACATTATTTTCGAAAATATGTACACACAGGCAATTCATGCTAATTACATTACAGCTCTAATGATAAAAATAAGTAAGGAAGGCATAAGAATAAAAACTTACAAGTGCTTACCACATTAGTTACAGTTAATGCAAACCATAATTATTACCAGTTAAATGAGAAAATGGTCGATGATTTCTGGGGTTTAACGTCCCAAAACCACCGTTTGATTATGAGAGACGCCGTACAGTGGAAGACTTCGGAAATTTCGACCACCTGCGGTTTTTAACGTGCACACAAATCTGAGCACACGGGCCTACAGCAATTTCGCCTTCATCAAAAAAGCAAGTAAAAGAGAAAATATTAAAGTAAATGAAAACAATGGAAATATATCGGGACTACAACACACCCAATTGTAGGCGACAATCATTTGTCATACAAAAAAAAGTTTTGCTTGTTCTGGAGGTGATGGATCAATCTTGGTAGTGAGACATAGAGACTTGATCTATTTCTCTTTCGGTTTTGATTACTTAGTCATTACGTTGCCGAGCCTGCTTCGTGCAGAGTGTCACCGAGGTACTAGTGTACAGGTATGCTGCAGAACGCTAACGTCACCCTGGTATTGCCGCTATGATGTGACCTTGGTTGAAGTTTATGTATAACTCTGTCAGTCAGGAGATAAAATCAGCTGGTCGACAACACGCTCTTTTTTTCAAGAGCTTTTCGCAAAGCTTTTCAGGAATGCTGCGAATACCAAGTTCTGCAAATACTTAGAACGATTCACAAGCCTTTTTCCTTCAAAAGAAATGTTATGCAGAAAACATTGGAAAGATTTAGTTTGCTCGAAAGCTTAGCGCTTTCGTGTTATCCCATAACCCTATCAGTAAGCGTGAGCAACCGAATTAGTAGTGCCCCCTGACGGTGCAGACACAATCTACATTCAAGCACAGAATTACAATACAGACTTTTGAAATTGCCACAGCACACGCACTCTTCTCATAGCGGGAGTTGTGCGAAACATTCGGCATGACCTCCGTGTAGCACTCGGTCCCAGAAACTCTGGTTCAAGCTATGGGACCCAAACATCAAATTTGCACTATAACAGCGCAATCTATCTTCTTTAATCGTCAACTAGCTGAAAACCACTAACGCCATCTAGCGAGACTATTTCCAAGGTCACGATACACACAACGCCATCTAGTAAGCAGTTCATTAACTGGATGTGGCTACGTACATACTACATGCGAGCGGAGGAGGGAACGACCCACACATAAGGGAGCTTCGACCCTGAAAATTCGCAGCGTCCGCACGTTAACTAAAGCTGGACTGCGGGTCTCTGCGCCCAATCAGAGTATCCTGTATATCACTGCCCATAAGCAACGATTGGCATTTTCCAGTAGGAAACATCGATCGATCACTGCGTACTTTGCGCCTCCCCAGGTTTCTCTACAGCGCAACGCCGCGATGAGCGGCAGCTTCAACGTCGCTGCCAGTGTAAGCGTTCGCATATTCGCATCTCCAAATGATTCCCTTCAGTGGGATATGGCATAAATTTTTCCTTCGTAAAGAAAACATAGCGATGCGCCTATATCGGCCAGTCAATACCAAATCACAGGGAGCCTCGAGTTCACTCGTTCCTGCCGCCGCCCCGGCTGCGGGTGCCGCGGGGGACCTTCTTCGTCGGCGACGCCGCCGCTGGGAGGCGGCCCTTTAAAAAGCCCAGAGCAGAACGATCAACTCTGGGCCGTCCGGCAGGCGGAGGACGCCGTCCGAGTCCAGGGACTACGAGCCACCACCTAAAGCCACCGAGACCAAATTGCCGGCCCATTGTGTCCAATAAAATCTTTTTTCTCTTTCTCTCGGTGTCCACAGCGAGGAACTTTCAGTAAAACTTGCGTTGGGTCTAGTTGGTACATAGCACAAAAAAAAAAGAAGTTAACTTCTTTGGCGCAAACAAACGGAAAAAAGGAAAAAAGAAGGCGAGGAAAGAAACAGATTGACGCCAAACTAACAACTACTTTATTCTTCACACAGCAACGCATATATATGCCGAAACCACATACATTGCATGCGCACGCACAGCTTCGTATCGTATACGTAATAACGAAAATTCCTTAAACCTTAATACGTCACACCACACACCTGAATGTACACGCGTGTTGTCATATTACACTTGTAGAACACGATATCTTAACCAAGATGTGTACGCAAAAATTCATATTCGATGGCATGCAAAGAAACGGAAGTATCACTGATACAGTCAGCTCCGCTTTTCTTAATATGATAAGCCTCCAAAGCAAGTCTTGCATCTTCATTCCTGCTCCTGCCCAGAATCATCGTATCATGAAACCGTGGCGAACATCCAATGCAGGATTGCAAGTGAGCAACAAGATGTGCCCCTTTGTCTACCTTGTTAACTATTTTTTGCGCATGCTCCCTAAGACGCTCGTTTATGCAACGTCCCGTTTGCCCGATGTAGATCCTGCCACATACCAGAGGTATGCCATATACCACACAGGTGATGCAAGAAATAAAGCAGACACCGTGTTTTATTTTGCACCCAGTTTTGCTACTACCGCAGGTGCGGGAGCACAACTTCAAGAGTTTGTTGGGCGCAGAGAATACCAAGGGGACCCCATGCCTGTTAGCTTGCGAGAAGTATTCAGAGAAGTAAAGCCAATTGTTTAAATGTGTTTTTCACAGCTAAAACGCACAAGCCTGAAACGCCTTTTAGAACCATTATTAGTGAGTCTGGGTGTTGGCAACACAACGTAAGCCAATTTTTGCAGAAAAAGCTGGGGTGGCTAAGTGTCAACGACCCGTTCCGCACTAAGAATTCTGAAGATATAGTAAAATTTTGTAGTGGGAACGAAAAAGTGGGCTATGTTTTCTCGGTTGATGTCCAGGATTTATTTTACTCTGTACCGCAGCAAGGGTTATTGTTATCTGTGCATGAATGCATTGAAGAAAACGGTGCTATCTCGTTTCAGAACGAGGTCGGGTTGAACGTGGCGAATTTTATGAGTTTGTTAGAATTCTATCTTAAGGTCACATTTATAGTTTTTAATGACCAGCATTTTATTCAGCGTGATGGCATTTGCATCGGATCCTGTGTTGCTCCTGTACTTGTCAACATTTTCTTAGCCCATGTCGATAGGTCTCTACAAAATGTCTTTAAAGTGTTTAAGGTTTTAAGAGTTTTTAGATATGTAGATGATTTTATTGTGTTTTTAAATTTTGGCTCTGACTACAGTGATACGGTTACTGATGTTCTAAATGCTTTTAAGCAACACGGACAAGGGCTCACTTTCACGCATGAGCTGCCCCAGGAGAATATCTTACAAGCTCTTGACCTTAGTCTAGAGGTATGTTACCGGCATGTGTGTTGGGCTTACAGTCCCCGTGTACAAAAAGAGCTGTTACATTTTAAGTCGGCCCACTCGAAAGTGGTTAAAAGAGGAATAGTCTCAACCTGCATAGATTCAGCTCTCAGAAAGTCGTGCGCTCATAAAATGCAGGAGAGTTTTGAAAATCAGGTACGCCGTATTTTGGCTGCAGGTTACCCTATGACGCTCCTTACAGCCGTAGCTGAAGCCCTGCTTCAGAAAAGAAAAACAAGAAAGAAGGCGACATGTGAACGTGATACGTTCAGGCCTGTTGTGATACCTTATTTACATAAGGTCACACATCAACTCAAGAAAGTTGCTAACAGGCATGGGGTCCCCTTGGTATTCTCTGCGCCCAACAAACTCTTGAAGTTGTGCTCCCGCACCTGCGGTAGTAGCAAAACTGGGTGCAAAATAAAACACGGTGTCTGCTTTATTTCTTGCATCACCTGTGTGGTATATGGCATACCTCTGGTATGTGGCAGGATCTACATCGGGCAAACGGGACGTTGCATAAACGAGCGTCTTAGGGAGCATGCGCAAAAAATAGTTAACAAGGTAGACAAAGGGGCACATCTTGTTGCTCACTTGCAATCCTGCATTGGATGTTCGCCACGGTTTCATGATACGATGATTCTGGGCAGGAGCAGGAATGAAGATGCAAGACTTGCTTTGGAGGCTTATCATATTAAGAAAAGCGGAGCTGACTGTATCAGTGATACTTCCGTTTCTTTGCATGCCATCGAATATGAATTTTTGCGTACACATCTTGGTTAAGATATCGTGTTCTACAAGTGTAATATGACAACACGCGTGTACATTCAGGTGTGTGGTGTGACGTATTAAGGTTTAAGGAATTTTCGTTATTACGTATACGATACGAAGCTGTGCGTGCGCATGCAATGTATGTGGTTTCGGCATATATATGCGTTGCTGTGTGAAGAATAAAGTAGTTGTTAGTTTGGCGTCAATCTGTTTCTTTCCTCGCCTTCTTTTTTCCTTTTTTCCGTTTGTTTGCGCCAAAGAAGTTAACTTCTTTTTTTTTTTTTTTTTTGTGCTATGTACCAACTAGACCCAACGCAAGTTTTACTGAAGTTCCTTTCTAGTA